CTGGGGATGCACACCTAGCACGCCTGCCCGTGTCCTACGAAGGGAGACGGCACGAGGAGAGGAGAGGAGAGGAGAGGCGAGACAGTGAGAAAGTTGGCCAACACACTAGAGAAGGGAGAGAGACAGACATGGGAGGGAGGCAAGCAACTTACCACCTGGAGTCATCCTCCTAGATGCACCCTTCCGCTGCGCAGGAGACACCGCTCCTGGCCAGAGAAATGAGCAGACCCTGAAAATGGGGACCTTGTCTCTCTCGTAAGCACAGCTGGTCAGGAACCATTTCTTACAAACCCAGCCCCAGCTAACGTGGCGTCCCTAGCAGGAGCAAGGTGGGCCGTGAGCACAGCAATCACCAAACCAGACACTTATCTCACTGAGAGTGGCGTGTGCTCGCATCCCAGATAGACGACCCTTGCCTGGCATCAACAATGTTCGCGGTCTCGTCGCTCTGGCTCGCTTTCCATCGCATGAGGGCTTGAGACTCTGACGCGTGACTTCTTTTCCCTCGGTCCTAAACCCAGCACAAGGGGAAAAAACAAATCCGTTACCATCTCAGTTGGCAATGTCTCATAGGCTCTTCCTTTTGCCTCTCCCTCACGGCGGGGCTCCTCCCTCAAACATCTTCCCATTACACCTTTATCATTACAACCAAAAAGCACCCCTTGCAACGGCACCCGACAGTCACTCTGCACAGCAGACTCTGGCCCCTCCCCGGCCGTAATCTCACAGAGCCCCGTTCCGAATGAGAAAGCACACGGCCTGTGAAGAATACTACAGCGAACACAGATGAGCAATTCAAAGCACTGACCGCTTACTCACAGCCAGTTATGCGGGAGTCAGAAAGCGGAGGACTGTTCATGTCTGCTGACAAGGATGTCCCGTCTGCTAATGTCCACTAGTGCCACTTTCTCCTCAGGCTAGGGCTCTTGGAAAATTCCTCTGGAAGCCAAGCTGCAAAAGCCAAGCATGAGCCATCACTACTTAAAGCTCTATTTGTTGCTTCAAATCTTGCCCTCATCCTGGCCTGCCTCTCCAATCCGATCTAAGTCAGCCCCACTCGATGAACAGAGACCGAGTTAACACCGACAGTCACAGCCCTGCATGGTTTTCGTCCCCTCCTACTTCTCCATGGCTCCCAAGACCTGGCCTGCAGGGATGCACACCTAGCACGCATGCCCGTGTCCTACGAAGAGAGACGGCACGAGAACAGGAGAGGAAAGAGTGAGAAAGTTGGCCAACACACAAGAGGAGAGAGAGAGAGAGGAAAATGGGAGGAAAGCAAGCAACTGACCACCTGGAGTCATCCTCCTGAATCCAACCTTCTGCTGCGGAGGAGACACCGTTCCTGACCAGAGAAATGAGCAACCTCTGAAAATAGGGACCTTTCCCCCTCGTAACGACAGCTAGTCAGGAACCTTTTCATACAAACCCAGCCCTAACTTAGTGGGCTTCCCAACCTGGACTCAGGTTGGGCGTGAGCAGAGCCCTCACCAAACCAGACACTTATCTCCCTGACAGCGGCGTCCCCTCGGCTCCCAGATGGACGGCTTTTGCGTGGCATCAGCAATGCTCAGAGTCTAGACGCTCTCGCTCGCTTTCCATCGTATGAGGGCAGTAGACTCTGACGCGTGACTTTGTTTTCCTTGGTACTAAACCTAACAGAGGGGGGGAAAAAAACAAAAAAATTAGCATCTCCGTCTGCAATGTCGCGTAGTCTCTTCATTTCACATCTCCCATATCCCACGGCTCCACCCTCAACCCATCTCCCATTACTAAGTTACAACTGCAACTAGAAGGCACCCATTGTAACGGCACCCAAAATACTCACTTTCCTCAGGAGACTCTTGTCCCTTGCCCAGCCTTAATTCCAGAGCCTCATACCCAACGAGGAAGCACACGGCCTGTGAAGAAAACTACAGCGACTACAGATGAGGAATTCAAAGCACTGACCTCTTCCTCACAGCCAGCGATGCAGAAGGCAGAAACATGAGGACTATTCATGTCTCCTTAGAAGGATGTCCAGGCTGCTCAGGTCCACTTCCGCCATATTCTTGTCCGGCTAGGGCTCCTGGACGATTCCTCTGCAAACTAATAAAGCCAAGCAAGAACTATCACTACACAGAACTCTATTGGTGCGTCGAGTCTTGCCCTCATCCCTGCCTCCCTCTCCAGTCCCATCTACATCAGCCCCACTCGATGAACAGAGACCGAGTTAACACCGACAGTCACCGCTCCACTCTCATGCATGATTTTCGTCCCCTCCTACTTCTCCATGGCTCCCGAGACAAAGCCTGTGGGGATGCACACGTAGCACGCCTGCCCGTGTCTTACGAAGGGAGACAACACGAGGAAAGGCAAGGACACACAGAGAGAGCTAGAGGGTGTGTGTTGGCCAACGTACTAGAGAAGAGAGAGAGAGAGAGAAAGGAAAACATCGGAGGAAAGCAAGCACTCACCACCTGGAGTCATCCTCCTGGATGCAACCTTCTGCTGCGGAGGAGACACCGTTCCTGACCAGAGAAATGAGCAACCTCTCAAAATAGGGACCTTTTCTCCCACGTGACCACAGCTAGTCAGGAACCTTTACATACAAACCCAGCCCTACCGTACGGGGCTTCCCTACCTGGACTCAGGTTGGGCGTGAGCAGAGCTCTCATGAAACCAAACACTTATCTCACTGACAGCAGCGTCTCCTCGGCTCCCAGATGGAAGGCTTTTGCGTGGCATCAACAATGCTCAGAGTCTCGACGCTCTCGCTCGCTTTCCATCGCATGAGGGCGGTAGACTCTGACGCGTGACTTCATTTCCCTTGGTACTAAACCCAGCGGGAGGGGGGAAACCAAAAAAATTAGCATCTTTGTCTGCAATGTCGCGTAGTCTCCTTCATTTCACATCTCCCATATCCCACGGCTCCACCCTCAACCCATCTCCCATTACTACATTACAACTGCAACTAGAAGGCACCCATTGTAACGGCACCCTTAATACTCACTTTGCTCAGGAGACTCTTGTCCCTTCCCCAGCCTTAATCCCAGAGCCTCGTAACTTAGGAGGAAGCACACGGCCTGTGAAGAAAACTACAGCGAGTACAGACGAGGAATTCAAAGCACTGACCTCTTACTCATAGCCAGCGATGCAGAAGGCAGAAACATGAGGACTATTCATGTCTCCTTAGAAGGATGTCCAGGCTGCTCAGGTCCACTTCCGCCATATTCTTGTGCGGCTAGGGCTCCTGGACGATTCCTCTGCCAACTAATAAAGCCAAGCAAGAACCATCATTACACAGAGCTCTATTGGTGCTGGAAATCTTGCCCTCAGCCCTGCCACCCTCTCCAGTCCCATCTACATCGGCCCCGCTCAATGAACAGAGACCGAGTTAACAC